CCTCACTCTTATAAGGACTCTTATAATTACAATGGGTCCACCCAGATAATCTGGTTCGTCTTTCCATCTTAAGATGCTTAATTTAATCACATCTGTAAAGACCCTTTTATCATGTGAGGCATTCATAGGTTCCAGGGATTAGGATACGGACATCTTTAGGAGGGTGAGGCATTAATTTTTCTACCAGAGAAAGATACTATAAAAATGAATTCCTTGAGAGAAGGATTGAGAGAAGAATTCCTTCTTTCTCCATCATCAGAACCTAGCAGTCATTGCCTGGCACCTAGAAGGCCCTGAGCAAGTGTTTAATAATTGAGGTTGATTGAGAAAAGACGTGTATTTGGTATCTGCTATGTGACAGACACTCTTCTAGGTGCTTAGAGAAAAGTTAGTGAAAAAAGCACAGTTCTAGTTTTTATAGACCTTACATTCTAGTGTGGCGAAGCAGAAAGTATACACCAAAAATACATATTAGGTGATGCTATGAAGAAAAAAAAAAAACAGGATAGAGATAGAATGTGCTAATTGCTATATAAGAAGTCCTCTCAGACAGGGTGCCATTTGACTAAAGACTAAAAAGAACTGGGGAACCAGGATTTATGAATATTTTGTAGAAGAATATTTTAGAATGATGAAATGATATGTGCAAAAATTCTGAATGGATTTTGAGATTGGATTTTGAGATTTTTAAGGAATAGTAAGGGGGCAAATGAGGCTTGCAATGAAAGAAGGAGAGAACAGTACAAGATGAAGTGAGACAGGTAGATGACAGAATGCATAAGATTTTGCAGTATATGGTGAGGATTTGGATTATACTCAGAGGGAGATGGGGGTACATTATAGGGTTGGAACAGAGGCTGGCAAATATCTGACTTATATCTTAAAAGACTAGTCTGGTTGTTATGTTGAATACATAACTGTGGGAAGGTTAATGGAGGAAGCAAGAAGATAAGACAAGTCTACTGGAATAGTCCCAGGGAGAAGTGATGGTGACCGGATTAGTTTGGTAGCAGTGGTAGGGATACAAATTGGAGTTCATTCTGGACACGTTTTTAAGATGGGGTCAAAGATACAGATGCAGTGAAAATAAGGGGCACATCGCATCCCAATGTTCATAGAAGCAATGTCCATAATAGCTAATCTGTGGAAGGAGCTGAGATGTCCTTCAACAGATGAATGGATAAAGAAGATGTGGTTCATATATACAATGGAATATTACTTATCCATCAAAAGGATGAATACCAACATTTGCATAGAAGTGGATGGAACTGGAGTGTATTATGCTAAGTGAAATAAGTCAAGCAGAGAAAGACAATTATCATACAGTTTCACTCATATGTGGAATGTAAGGAATAGCATGGAAGACCACAGGGGAAGGGAGAGAAAACTAAAGGGTGGGAAATCAGAGAGGGAGACAAACCATGAGAGACTCTGGACTCCTGTAAACAAACAGAGGGTTACAGAAGGGAGAGGGGTCGAGGATGGGGTAACTGGGTGATGGGTATTAAAGAAGGCAATTGAGGTGATGAACACTGGGTGTTATACCCAACTAATGAGTTGTTGAACACTACATCAAAAACTAATGATGTTATGTTGGCTAACTAAACATAATAAAAAAAAAGATGGGGCTTGTATGATTTGCATGATAGTTTGGCTATGGTGTGAGAGAAAGAAAGCAATTATCTTTCTTGAATGAGGCTGAGCATCTGATGAGTGAAGGCACCATTTCTGAACCGGAAATTACAAAAAAGGGACAAAATTTTAGTTTTGTATATGTTTAGATTGATGTTCATCAGACATTAAGGCAAAATGCTATGGAGGCAGATAGATACGGGGAGACTGGAGTTCAGGGAAGAAACTGGGGCAAGAGCTATGCTTTTGGGAATCAGTATGTGGATGCCATTTAAAGTTGTAGAACTGGATGAAATACCCAGGGGAATGATTTCAGTTTAAGAGTTTGTACCAGAATTGAGCAAAGGGGTATTCTTGTGTTTGGAGGTCAGGAATGTGAAGATACCAGCAACACAGCATGCTAAATAGCAGGCAAGTAGAGAATGATACGATCCAAGACAGAGTAATGTCCTGGAAGCCAAATGAAGAAAAATTTTTAAGAAAGGAGTAATCCAATGTGTCAGGTGTTGCTGAAGTGTCAGTAAAATAAGGGTCTCAAAAGAGCCATTTTTTAACATGATGAAAGTGATTGTGTTTTGATAGAGTTGGGGATACAAATGTCTGATTGAAGTTATTCATGGAGCTTCAGTGCCTTTATATTCATGCAACGGCAGAGAGTCCCTAATGTATTTCTAGATGTTGACAAATACTTAAAACTTTATGTTGTGTGATTTGGGGCTGACTTGTAGTACAATTACTGGAGTTTTTTGAAGTTTAAGATTTCTAAGTTGGTCAGGATGCCTGGCTGGCTCAGCTTGTAGAGCATGTGACTTTTGATCTTGGCGGTCATGAGTTTGATCCCCATGTTGGTTGTAGAGATTACTTAAAACATTTTTAAAAGGTTTCTAAGTTGATCATCTAGTGTATCTTTATTTGCAATACTCTTAAAATGTATTACCTTTAAACTTTCTAAATTCCTTAACTCCAAATTACCTCCTTTCCACTACAAGACCAATGAGTCCATAAAATGGAGAGATTTATATAACTAAGACAATTTCCTTTTTTTCTGGGAGAGGAACAACTGAGTGCAAGCAGAATAGTTTGAAAGGCACTTTTGCTTTAAATTTTTACCCCATTTCCTCATGGTGCTGACAGAGATCAAATATCAAATGCTCCAGATCAGAGATTAGTAACGGAGATTACTTAGTTGAAAGTGCATTCATTCTTTGGAGACCAATAAATATGTTAGTAATTAATGTTGTTCAACTGCACATTCTCCTCCTCTTAACATTATTGACTTATATATGATGCTAATATCTTAATCATAGACTTCATGTTTGGTATATTTTGCAAAAAAAGACAACTAGGGATATCTGTAAAGCACATAAAACACTGAAACTCATAAGGCCAAAAAAAACCTCAAGTATTCTGCCAATGTTCATTATAGGTTCCTTAAAATACAATGCATAAATGAAAACTTCCAGAGGAGGCTTCTCCCATATTATACTCTCGCTTTTTTTATTTCCTTTTTACAGGTGGGACAGTCATAGTTGGCAAGGGATTGGCAAGTAGCAGGGAAAGCTGATTAGGAAAGGGAGAATATGAAAGAAATTTGCCACATTGAATTTACAACCACAACTGTGATCTGAGGACAGAAATCATCATTCATGTACCTGGCTTGTTCTAGGAAAAAGTAGGGTTTTGATGGGGTGAGAATTTGTCATTGATACCTCTTATACACTTGCTGTCTGCCCACTTTCCTCTTACTTAGGATGTTTCCCCTTGCAGTGCTGTAGACATGTGGTTACATATTTCATTATTCTCTTCTTGAAATTCATCAGTCATGGTTCTAGAGGTGTTTTCTCTGGTTGGTCACAATGCACACTCTTAGATTTTAATGTGGTAAATGATCTGTGCTAAAAATTGCTTGGCTTAATTCTAGGTTAAAATGGAACAAAATAGCCAACCAACCAGCCTTTACTAACTTGAAAGTAAAAATAAGCAGAAAGGGGGGAATGTATTAGTAACAGTTCACAAGTGGCCAATTACCCAATTCATCTATAGGCACAAAACTAACTCTGGACATGTGAATTCAGGAAAGGGCTTGGACAGCTCAATATTGGGAAATGTGGATCCTCACTGATTGGGAGGAAAGTATTGTTGTTTTGTTTTGTTTTGTTTTGTTTTTGTAATGGACTTTCATTTGCTTTTTTTAATCTTTATTATTTGATTTCAATATGTACCAAAGGGAATATTCAGTGTTATTGTTATGAATAAGACAGACCCAAGTTCAAATCCTGGTTTTGAGCCTTACTGGGAGATTTGATACAGCTACCTACATTCCATGTGCCTCAGTCTCCTCAAACACAGAAGGGAGACAATCCTCACATTATGAAATTGTTGTAATGAGGATTATAACATCAATTGATGAAAAAAAAAACTAGTGTAAAATATAGACCCTGTAGATTTTAATTGGAAATTGAATAACATATGTTATGGAAACAAACAATACATTTGACAAGAGTAACAGGTATATCTTAACAAAGGAAATATTAGGGAAACCACTTTTTGAATGTGGACATTTTTCAGTTATAAACAGGAAGACTTTTTGATTCATATTTAAAGTGTTTAGTGCAGAAACATATATCATTTACAAAGAACAGATTGAAATCTCAATAGATTCACTCACTAAGCATCATCAAGGTAAAAGAAATTGTGGAGGATTAATAATACCACATCAAAATGAAATGTTTATTTGCTACATGAGTTATATAGTCAGACATCATTTCAGAATACTAGGAGATTATTTATCTACCCCAGGATGAAAGTATATCATATGAGACTTCATAAATCAATAGTGATTGTACTTTCCATTCCATCCATCTATCCATTCATCCATCCATCCATCAGTATATATGCATTTGTGTGTTTATATGTCATATCAGAATTGTAAACATCTATAAATAAATATTTGTAACAAATATTGTATGTACAAAATCTCAAAATACAATTTAGGAGACCTTAACCTCTAATCACCTATATATACCTAATCTTAATTATTCTTTGAAATTTGGGGAAACTGTATCTATTATTACACAACTAAGCCTCTATCATTTGAGTTAGAATCACTAATGACAACAGTACAATCTAAAGTATGATGTCAAAGTTGAAGTGAGCAGATCGCATACAGTTGTGGCTTCCAAAAAACTGTTGTGTAGAGGTGTGTGACTAACAGTACTGTTGACTTTATACCAGGAAGTTTTTGCCTAGAAATAATGCCTAAGTGTGTTGCAACTATTTTGTTCAACCTACTATTCAATAATGAACCTCAGTATCTTCTGGAAAATGAAACTTTTCATCATTTAAGAATACAAACAACAAAATTAGCTGTTATCAGACTTTGGTTTATTGTAAAATTTAGCAAAGACTTTTTTTTTTTTTTTTTGGTAATTCCTGACCCCTTGCCCTGAAAACAAAAGCAAAAACTTAATTATTGCTTATTCTTTTCCCCCCTACTTTATTTGTGCCACTGTAAAAGGGAGAAAAATCATTGTAATAAATAAAAATAGAGATGCAAGAGAGAAAGATAAATCAGTCCAGATGAGAAATATTAGGAGCAACAGAATTATCATCAAGCAGTTTCAAAATAAGCTTCTTTTAAAAAGGTTGTCATATAAAAAAAATCACACCAAAAATATAGCAGCGGAGAAGGATAAATACGAGTTAATTGCACACCAATCCCATGCAAAAAACTGGGTCATTAGCCAAAGCAGTAGTATTCAGAATCCAGTTTAGGGTGTTTGTGCAGGGCTTGTGAGTCCTCTATTATGGAGCTGTCACTGAATTGGTCCAAGTCTGATGGGGTCTGATGGCCAGGGACATCATCTGCCAAAGTGTCCAGAAAGCTCCCCACGGAGATGCCATCCAGCCCATCGCTGCCATCATGGAGGCTATTGTAGCTGCCACGTAAGGAGGTGCTCTGACTCTCCAATAAACTGCACAGGCTCCCACTCAGACTGCTGCCTCGGCTGGTAATGGTGGCTTTCTCTTCAATCATCCACTTGATGGACTCAATGCTCTCATTGATAACAAGCAACTGGCGCATGAGCCTGACGTCTGTTGCTCTGAGGTTAACCTGAGGGGAAGGCAGAGAGAGCAAAGACATGCCAGTTATTCTACATTTTTGAGAGACTCAAAATTCATCTTCTGCAGGCCATAACTTTACGTGCACAGAATCAAATATAAATTCACTCGATCTCAGGATCTTTTGAAAACTGCTGGCCAATGCCAAAAGTCATAATCAAAGAACTCACTCCCTGCCCGATACATCAGGCTCCAAAGGGGACAGTGAAACTAAAACTCCCACTGCATACCTGACCCTAACTCTGCTGCCTGGAAAAATCATGTTGAAGGTCAGGTTCTCTGTTAACAAGTGTATTCTCTCTCTGGCCAGATTAATAGTTTATCCATGTTAACTTGAGTATATGTATGTAGATGCTATGAGGTGGGGCAAAGAGAAATGTGTAGTAATTAAGGAATTATCGTCATCACCATCATTGTAGCAGCTCCTAGTTTCTGAGTGATGATGTATTGGAAATCATTATGCAAATTCCAACCTTCATTACACTGTAGCATCCTTAGACCAAGGGTATTATTTCTATCCCCATTATACAGGTGAAGAAATGGAAATCCACAGAAGAGTATGGAAGAGGTCTGCACTCTCTAAGACTATATAGAAATATATCTAGTTCTAAATAATGCTTTTATTTTTAATAACTACATTGCTTTAAAAAATTCCTTGAATCCAAAGGATGCTATCACACTACTCTGTTCTACTTTACAAGATGAAACGTTCAGATGTCTTCTTTAGATCTGATTATTTGCCTCAGATATGTCAGGGGAAGGCCCAATCAAATTTGGTATATTAACTCTGAGAAAGTTCTAGAACTCCCTCAGATAACTTCTAGGTGTATAGTCCTTCTGACAGTTCTAAACTACTTCAAAGAAATCTGTCCTCACAGCACAAAGCAGAATTTCTTTGTAGATCCTACCGTTAAACGGGAACGTTTGCTAACATCAAGACTGTGGTGGTTCTGTGGAAGGTGGAGAAAGGTAGGCTGCAAGAACTCTGATTGCCCATGCCCTTGTTGTGAGTGAAGAGATGTGGTTGCTATAAAGATTCTAGCACCTGGACTGGCCATCAGGGATATATTTGGCCACCAGAGGTCACATTCATTATGGTTTAAAATAGATTTCCTTTTTTTTTCTTTTTTTTTTTTTCAGTTGGGGTCTTTAACCTAAGAGGCTGGGCCTTGCTAATTATTTAAGATCCAAGGCTAATTCAGATGTGTGGGTTTCTAGAATTATTAAAGACATTCAGTCATAAGTGACTCAAGCCTTAAGGAAGAAAGGAGCCTATTGTCTTCAAATGTATGCATTCATATTATAAAAATATTTCCTGGTTAGGAGTTAATCCATAACCAAAGGTGAACTTTGGGTTGAGTGAATGTGATGAACAAACATTAGGAGAAGATGGAACTTCCACCAATGACTTCAGAGATGTAACATTACAGGTCATGTATGAATACGCATTAAAAAAGCATAAGGTATGATTTTAAAACTCTCAATTTTGCTAGACTATTACATAAAGGGACTTGAGTGACTTCCTTGTCTTCTCTGAAAAAAGCACCATAAACAAACTGTATACAAGGTAACTGTGAAAATCATTTGTCTCTGACATGTCTGTGGATGGAAAAACGTTAACTTATTACATTTTGAGATGTTTTTCTTTCTGTTACACAGTGCCTCGGTGACACTGTTCTATCAGTGACCTCGCAGTGATGTTGTATTGAGAAAGGAGGCTTTCTGGCAGTCTTTATATTCAAACTTACCCGCATACCCCATGAGCCATCAACATACTGTTCAGGTTACATGTAATACAACAAATATTTATATTCGTCTAGGTCCACTGAGGAGCCTAGAAAATCAATAGGAGCCAAAGTCTTACAAAATTCTTCTGTTAGGCATCTGCAGCTCATAAAACGTGCTGTGCCCATTGTCAGCATGGTGCAATATGAATGGGACCGTTTCCCGTCAGCTTCCCCAAATGAGCCACAGCTGCATTTGTCCACATCCCCGCCCTGTCGCATGGAAATATTCTGGTCCATGCCCAGATATGGGTGTGTTCCCTGTTAGTCTCCTCACTTGAAATACTTCCTCTCTTCCTCTTCCAATCCTCCCCATTCCTAAGGTCCTCTTCTTTCGTTAAGCACTACTTGCTGATTCCAGCCTCTTCTGCTGGTCCATGCAAAAAATGTCTTACAATTGTTACATATCTTAAGGCCTGACCCAAGCATCAATTTTTTTTTTTTTAAACTGGCATAAATTTAGATCTGTGAGAGTTCAGCTCTTAAGGCAGTTATAATGCACATTCCCAATGACTGTGTCACTCTGGGGTTAAAAGATACTCGGGACAAATTTTTTTCCAGCAATTTTCGCCTGAGTTACACAGTGGCTGCATCAAACACAATTTTTTCAATCTTACTGAGCAATGCAAATCAGAGGAACAGACTATGAAGTAACAAAAGCTGCCTTTGACCATGAAATGATTTATTTAGAAAAAATCTTTTTCTTCTGAAGGCAAACATTCACAGGCCATTGAACCGCTGCTGGGGGGTAAAATGACGAAAGTGAGTCAGTTAGAACACGCTGATCTGGCTGATAATGATTACAGACTTAACTTCTAACTCTGTCCTCCTGGCGAGAGAGTAAACATCAGCCCACTGTGGGAGCACCGGGCCAGCCAGTTCACACGGTTGTCTGTCCATTACCTGGCGCGGCCTCACACCACTCTCTCCTGGAACTAAGGTGTGGATATGCTGTTGCCAACGAACCTTGAAAGTCTGAGCAATCCACCACAGAAGGAAATCACAATGTTGCTTCTGTCTCTGGTAGCTGCCCCACCTTTCCTCACTGTTATTCATGTCATTGTTTATGAAGTGGGGCCGTCTGTTAAGGAAACAGTCACCTACCCCTTCAGCGGGAAACTGGTTCTTTCACTTAAGGTCTTGTAAGGTCCATTTCATGGTCCAAGTTTAAGGACATCTCCCTTCTTGGAGAACCCCTTCCTGATCGATATGGTATCCAGTCTCCATGCCTAGTTTAATACTACATTTCTGGGGTTTTGTTTGTTTGTTTCCTTCACAGTATCTATGGCTAGTCAAAATCCTGCTTATTGTTTGTGTATATTTTTGTGTTCCTCATGAGCATGTAAGCAACACAGAATGCAGGGGATTTGGTCTATTCTGTTCACTGCTCTGCATACAAGACCTGCAAGAGTCCTTGGCACATAGTAGGTGCTCAATTCGTAGTTCTTCAAGGGCTGAATGATTGTTTCAGATTGTACCATCTGTCAAGAATACCCCTCCCTTGGGTTTTGCTATGGGTCAGTGATATCTGGCTTGAGTGGAAGGAGAGAGGCGGTTCTGGAAAGAGCATTTCAGCACTGAAACGTTCCCAGCATGCAACTCCATTCTTACTCATTTACAGGATTCAAACATCCTATTGCTAGCTTAAATGTACAGATTATTGAGATAGTATCTCTGAAAGGAAATGGACTTCAAGGTGCGAATCATACTCCAAACATTATTTTGTTTGTTCCGAGGTGATACCTGGTGTCGGTCTTGGCAGAGACAGGGATCTGTAAACACTTGATGAAATGAGTTAAACAAAGGGAACAAACAGGACATTGACAAAAAAAGAAAGAGAAAGGAAAGAGCAGGGAAGGGAAGAAAAAAGAGAGGAAAATTAAAGAGAACAAAGGAGGAAAGAAGGAAAGAAGGAAGGAAAGGAAAGAAAGAAGAAAGAACGAACGAACAAACGAGCAAGAGAGGAAGGAAGGAAGGAAGGAAAGAAGAAAATGTTTGCACCATTGATCCAAGGAGATGTGAATGTTCTTTCTTTTCCTTCACCACCCCTGCCCCCACTCTGGCCCTTGCAGTATTGTGATGTGTTTCATCTTAATACTTAACTGAGGTCTCTCATGCTTTAGGATTAGTAACAGGTTTCCAGACTAGGTGAATGCTGAAATTTCCTATCATTTTTAGACAAGTAGTGGACTGGGTCTATGGTAGAAATTAAAACAAGGGATCCTGAAAGAACAAATATTCTTAATAATAAATTTTCCCAGATCTGTGTTTTCTTCCTGGCTATCATTTTAATGTTGAAAGAAGACAAAAATTACAAATTAGCATAATGGAATCCAAGAAGGAGAAAAGGTGGTCAAATTTTCAATTAATCAGGGAGTTGCTGAACAAGTCAACTTCTTTTGTGGCGCTGTCCCAGGAACACGGTATAGGGTTCTAGTCTGACACTATCACTCTCTGCCTGTGACGTCTGGGCAAAATGGCTTGGCACATGGGATCTCAGCCTCTGTATCCAAGAAGACAAATGACGAGGTTTTATTCTCAGCTCCAGTGAGCCAAAGGTCTCCACAGGCCTCCGTGGAGGCTCATTTCTGCCAGTATTGAAGAGTTAATATGACTGAGGAACCACCTACTCTTCTGTCTGCTTTTCATATCGAGGATTTATTTAAGATGTTACTTGATACAAAGAATCTGCAGATCAGATTGGCTCAGAATTTCCCTCCATTTTGACATATTCTCTGGTTCTTTTGTCATTCAATCCAAGCATTTGATTACTAAATTGTCTCTGCTTTGAAGAAACCATGAGGGCTGGGGCGCCTGGGTGGCTCAGTGGGTTAAAGCCGCTGCCTTCGGCTCAGGTAATGATCTCAGGATCCTGGGATCGAGCCCCGCATCGGGCTCTCTGCTCGGTGGGGAGCCTGCTTCCTCCTCTCTCTCTCTGCCTGCCTCTCTGCCTACTTGTGTTCTCTGTCGGATAAATAAATAAAATCTTTAAAAAGAAAAAAAAAAAAGAAACCATGAGGGCCATGGAGGAGACAGAACAATCAGTTTTGCTACTCAACAGGTCCAGCAAAATCTTTAGCTAGTAAAAACTCATGGCCAAAGCCAGCACCTTGAGCTCTTTGTGGATTTTAATCTCCTTATCAGAAATTGTGTGGTAATGGTAATATTTAATTTTGGCTCTTGCTATTTGAGTTAAAAAAAATCTTAT